TTTTGGGTTGTTTCCTATCATTTCCTTTCTCTTGAACCTCTAGGTATTCTATGTCTGGTTTGATGCTACTATTGGCTACTTGTCCATCACAGCCAACTACACAGACCAGTGGGAACAATGGTGGAAGAACCCAGAGCAAGTGAGCAGTTCTTGGTTAGCCTGTTTATGGAGAGGGCATATGAAGGAGGGCATGTATGACAGGGTATCGGGTCTTTTTTGGACTTTTGAAGAAAGTCTCAGATCTCTCACAACTATATTCCCTAGGTGGACCTTTACCAGTTCATGGCCAAAGACAACGTTCCCTTTCATGGCTTAGTCTTTCCTTGTTCAGCCCTAGGAGCTGAGGATAACTACACCTTGGTCAAGCACCTCATTGCTACAGGTAGGTACCCTAGAAGAAAGCGGATGGACTGTTGGAATGAGAACTAAGGCAGTATTTGGAAGAAGATCCTGTGAAGTGCTGGGTCTTGAGTTTGTAGTTGATATGGATTAGGAAATAATTAAAACTTGAGAACATCATCCAGAAAAAGGAATCAAGATTCTGAAGAAAACAAAAGACCAAAGCAAAAATTTTGTATTACATATGAGTAAAGAGAAAAAAGGTTAGAATGGATAGGAAAGGATCCCAAGCTACTCAGGGTGAGGTATTTTTGGACATCCACCATTAATGTTGAAGGAAAGGGAAGAATTACTGGGTCAGAGAGGGGAGTGATATTTGAACAGATAGTTCTCATTCTTCTCTGTCTAGAGTACCTGAACTATGAGGATGGGAAATTCTCTAAGAGCCGTGGTGTGGGAGTGTTTGGAGATATGGCCCAGGACACAGGGATCCCTGCTGACATCTGGCGCTTCTATCTGCTATACATTCGTCCTGAGGGCCAGGACAGTGCCTTCTCCTGGACAGACATGCTGCTCAAGAATAATTCTGAGCTGCTTAACAATCTGGGCAACTTCATCAACAGGTGGGAGTTGGTAAGGGGTTAGAGTCAGCAGTAGAGCTGAAATGTCCCAATTCTCCCTCCAGAGATAAGAATATAGAGAGAATATGTAGAGACATTGTGGAAAATTGATTTCTTTAAGTTGGACTCTGCTCCCAGCACATAGTAGGTAAAGTATACTTTGGAAAGAGAGATAAGATTTAGCAAAGTTGTCACAGAGGGATTTTAACATAATTGTTTTCTGATGTTCATTGAAGAAATGATATATTTTATCCTCACAAAAAAAAGGTTCACTTGCAGGCCACTGAAAAGTTTGGCTGAAGAAAGGGGTTATTTCAGTGTAGTGATAGGAGGCTTCTGTTCTACAGAGTTTTTACTTTAGGGTCACATTTCTATTCTTTGTCACTATCACAGTGATTCTGCAGTCTGAAGAAATCTCCATGACTTAAGAGTTTCTCTGTTCCTCTCTTTGAGCCCTAGGCCGTTAGCTCAATTACTATTTACCCTTTCAGGTTTTTTTCATTAACCATCTTGAACAGATAGTCTTCTTTAGAGTGTTTGATAGCAATTAACACATAATAAATTTAAACTTGAGGGCTGGGGTTGTGGCTGAGTGGTAGTATGCTTGCCTCACATGTATGAGGCCCTGGGTTTGATCTTCAGCACTACATAAAAATAAATAAAACAAAGGTATTTTGTTCATCTACAATTAAAAATATTTTAAAAAATTTTTTAATTTGATCTTTTTTTGTTGTTTGTTTTTTGTACCGGGAGT